AATATTGTTAAAGATGACGTAGCAACTGGTTAAATAAGTATTTTCTTTTATGTTGAATTTGTATAAGTCTTTTCTACTAATAAAATGTCATCTGTGATCAACAGCTACGTCTAAAATTCTGACGATAATTTCTAAAATATTGATATTAGTGAATATTAAAAAAATTTAGTAGATGCGTCTTCTTATCATGAGTCGAATGGTAATTTATTCGAAAATTGTTAGATGCGCCTTTTTTTCTTATGACCGCAGCATTGTTTCATACCGAGCTAGATACAGGTCGACAGCGGAGTGAGTGTGGGTACAGTCGCGTTCTAAAGTACTACATGGTATTGGGCTATTGTTTTATAATATTATAGTAATTAATTGTTTTATTGTAGAATCATAATAGGTGTTTTACTAGCTACTTAGAACTTTGGAAGAGGTGGGAATTAAAAATAGATAATGTTTACTTGAGCATTGTTTTTTATTTCTATCGTAAAATATAAAGTAGTTTGTAACAAAAAAACTTAAGCTAAGGGTGACACGCCGTCCATTATGACGTCTTGGGTCACATGGAAGCCAGATGTTGATGGTGTGTTGGTGTTACTGGATGCTACTTCATCATCACTTTCATCTTCGCTTGAGCTTCCGTCATCAGGTCGATCACATGGTAATTTTTTCGGTATTCTTCCTCAACAATTTTAACTTTACTGCACAATTTTCCCCATTCACCTTCTCCTATCATATTTACCTTTTCGTTCACTAGTTTAGTCATAAAACAATAGATATAAATAATTTTTTTTCCTTCCTTTTTAAAACATCGTCGCGAGTCGCAAAGTAAGCTGTGTATGCGACTGTATTTTTGGAGCGAACAAAGCGCGGGAACCAATAGCATGCAGGCACAGTAATACTGGCCAATATGTGATAAATCGCTCAGTGCCCAAGTTCAAGGCCAGCGTTCTTTTTTCACCGTTCGCGCGTACATTAACCTCCATTAGTCAGGTGATATCAATTCAGTTTCCACTGCTGGTTTTATGTTTCAGTATTTTCATGATTTTTTTATGAAATTATCGTTTCATTTAGCTGTACTAACATGATGGCGCGTGAATAAAGCTAATAAAACGTTGTAAAAATATGTTTTTTTTTTCATCAGGATCAAATTTATTTATGACCCATGATCAAAGGTATACTTGGTGCTGTCGCCTGTCTTAGTTTTCGGGAGCGTTCCAAAAATACCCTGTATATTAATAAAAATAAATTAAAAAATTTTACAATAGAAAAATGTAAACAAACCAGAAATACGGTAGTCGCACGAGATACAACAGATTTAACCAGCTCAAAAAAAAAGGATTCATTTTTACCAATTCTCTTGGTTCTTACTTGAGCAGACCTGGAGTCTTTCACCACACTTGGAACCGAGGTTAAAGCAGATGTGGCTTGAGTCACCGATTCAGAGGTCGAAATAGCATCAAGATCAAGCCTAGAATGGATACGATGGCGTACTTGATCAGGTCCTAGTACGAAGATGATGCCATCCCTCGTCCAGCACCTGGAAACTCCAAAACGTTGGCGCGCCGCTTGGAATGTAGTATGTCGACCCTTTGTAAGAAATTCGGACAATGTAATCCCTGTGCCTTTCAAATTTTTCTTTGCAAGCCATATCTTCTCTTTTGTCCCATAGTCTCTAAATTCTACAAGCACAGCCCGGGGTTTATCAGTGCCAGGTTGACCAAGACGATGTGACCGGCCTATTGAATCAGTGGTAATACCAGGGGCTTTCAAGTGGTCAGATAGAATCTTGACAACACTAGAGGATGTGTTCTCTTTCTTGCCTTCGGCTATACCATGAACAAGCAGGATTTTTCTTCGAGATCTCATCTCCATGTTATCATTTTGTTGAGCTAATAGTTCAACTTGCAGTTGCAAATTTTCTAAAGCAGTTAAAACAAAGCACCGGAATGAATGAAATTGGTGATTAATATTTGAAGTGGGGCTTGTTGCTGGAATTGAACTCCTGAGATCTTTTTGGAACTCAGCCATCCTTAAATTGAAATGTTCAGTGAGGTCCGCAACAGTTTTCTTAATTGACTCCATTTGTTTTTAAGGTTATAACAATGTGGTAGTGAAGTGAATGTGCTAAAGAGTTCAAGTTATTCTAAATATATTTCAGACTTGACTGGCAGGAGTTTATATATCACGGGAACATTAAATTTATATTAAATAGTCCCTAGATATAATATTATACAAATTAAAGATTTCAGTGTATTAAAATATGTCTAACTTAATCAACTCCTACCCGCGAAAAAAAAAGCTGTATAGCTGTTGTAGACGGAGTGAAGTCAGCTGAATTCAAATATTTGAAAAATTTCATGACTAGATTAGTTAGTAAAATGCCAGTATACAAAACCTCAACTATTAACGTAGTACAAAATCAAGCGGATTGGTTGGTCCTTGTTTATTTCTCCATCTTATTCTTATTAATTTTGGCGCTTTTTTTTAATTTATCCTATGCTACTGCAGCGCCACCCTTATTGGACGCGTTTTTAGGAACATTTTTCATATAAGGAGATGGTCCTCCTTGTACTCTACACTCCAGAAAAAAAATACTTTCATGTATTTTCCTTTTCATGGCGAGATGTCCAAGTACACTTACAACAATTTTCCTACCTACTCTGTGACGAATATTTGGCTCAGCGAATACGGAAATTGTTAAATTTTAATCGGAAGTTATATATCGGAGGTAGAAGCACAGTGGTGGCGATGGCCGCGATCAGCGTGTACAAGCAATTTTATACTTGTCGCCCCGGAACCTCTGTCCCCCCGTGACTTCTGCCGATTACTCTTTAACTTTTTTTTTCGTATTTGGCAATTGACATGTTGAATGTGCGTTCGCACTTCATTTATACCTATTCGAGTTTTTGATTAGTTTTAGTAGCATTTTATTTGACGTGTAACAAATTTATTTGAATTGGACAATGAATTCTAAATCAACTGCCATTTGGAATTATTTAAATGAAGTCTCTGAGAATATGGCAAAGTGTTAACTATGTGAGAAGATATATTCACGAAAGGGAGGTACGACTACTTCGTTAAAAAGTCATTTAAAGTCTCTGCATGCCACTGAATGCGAAGAATTCAAAAAATTTGAAACTGTAAAGAAAAACACAGTGCAATAGACCTGCCTTTAACACATCTCTTCTGCCTCCACCTCCGATTCCGGTTCCGATTTCGGTTCCGGTTCCGAAAACAAACAAAATTTAAAACTCCGCTTCCGAATTCGGTTCCGATATAACCACTTCCGTAACATCCCTATCATGCACGATGCACGATGCAAAACGACAATGTATAGGCTTGACGCACGTCACTTGACGTACGTCTTTGGTGTAGGTCAAGTCTACTCATTGTCGTTTTGCATCGTACATCATGCATGACCTTGGCGGGACGTACGTCGATGGACCGTGCATACTTGTATTAAGACGTTTAAAACAGTCACAAAGTATATTTTTTGAAAACAGTCATAGAATAGATAATACAGTACACTATACCAGAGAATACAGAACAGAGAAAAAGGAGGTTTTAGTGGGAACTTGACCGGCGGCGGTTTGCCGCTCCTGTATAAAGCTCGCTTTTCACTATGGGATATAATATATATTATATCCCGAAATATAAATGATATCCCGCGATTGGCTTTCACATTGTGCGATATATCTTTTAAGTAGTGTGCGTTCGTCATTGGATTACCCCCTGTAACCCGCACGTCGTTCTGCGGCGGCGCGGAACGGTGTGCGGGTACAGGGGGCGAAATATAATATGAAAATATTGCTCGGTCGTATATTTATAGTTTTAGATGTAATATATATTATAGCTCAGTATAAACGGTTCCATTTAAAAGTATGGTGAGTGATATTAATTTATATTTCGAATTGTAATATATACTATACTAGCTGACCAGGCAGACGTTGTTTCGCCCTTTCCGACGACCATTTGCTTTTCTAAAAAAAAAACTCCTGACATTAGCAATAAAATAATTGAGGGTCACTTATCGGGATAAAAACTATCCTATCTCTCAAGTTGCAGCAAACTGTACACAGTGTGCAAAATTTCATTGAAATCAGTTCATTAGTTTAGGAGTTCCTCGCGGACAAACAATGTGACACGTAATTTTTATATATAAATATTATATCCCATAGTGAAAAGCGGGCTTTATTGTTTAAGTAATGGTTTGAATTCTTACGTGGTAGAGCCATGCTACAGTTATATTCATAGTATAGTTGTAGCACGAATGGGTCGGCTCGACCGGGGAAGGACCACGCTCTCATAGAATACCAGCGTAAAATAGCAGTTTAGTGCTGCTGTGTTTCGTATGGTGAGTGTAGAGAACCGGAAACCTATTTTAATGGAAAAGAGGCTTTCTATCTTAGTCCTCACGGCTCTGCATTTTAGTTTGCAGGCGAAGATAAATGTAGATATCTATGGGCCACAGCAACCACTTACCACCAGGTGGACTGTGTGCTCGTTTGTTACCTTTATTCTATAAAAAAGTGGATTTTGATATGCAAATCTGGTGCGATTTTATGTATTAAGTGTTTGGGCATGTGAACTATTAGTGGAAACGGTGAAACAAGTGCTCTGATGTTGATCTGATTCTCAAGACAAGGTGTCTGTCTGCTTAGGCACCTTGAGATACCATCGCCAACTGTCAGCTGTCTGCTGAGTCAAGTTGCCGTCAAAATCTCTCAAGGGCTGCACAATGTGACACATCAACATATTGTGAAGCAGTATACTATGAAGGATAATTATACATTTTAACTTCAGGCTCAGAAGCTCAGAAGGGCTAGAACCCAGAGCCGTAAAGCCAGTTATAAAAAAAAAACAGAGAAAAACAGTGAATAATTTGAAGCGGAGCTGCATTATTAGAATTTTATTTAAATTTTAACAGACATTACAAAATACAAATCCATACTTCATACATGAAACTACAATATCATTAAAAGTTGAAAAGTTTTGACACAAACTTTAAAATGACTGCTAACAACGAGTACCCAAAGGCTTCGAGTAAGTAACTTGGGCACACCCATTACTTGTTTGTAAATATCATTTATGCTCGTCCCATGAAATATACAATTTTATACCTATACAAAGTATTGTTTATCAGGTATTTTTCTATTATTTTTTTGTGATATATACTACTACTATGTCATTTTTTTTTAATATTTTTCAGATGCTACTTTAATTGGAGCAAGTATAACTTATGCAGCAGGATTATTTCTTTTATTATCCTTTGCTGGTCCATACTGGATAGAATCATATTCGGAAATGTTTTCCCCTTTCAAACACATGGGTCTATGGGAGTATTGTTTTGATCGATTTCGATTTCCTTCATTTCAGTATGACAAGTTGTTCCATGGTTGTCATTATATATTCAGCGAGGTAAATATAAAATCATTTCATTGTCATCATCATTATCATTACAGCCTACCAAAGTCTACTTTTGCATAAAGGCTTCATCCATAGACTGTCTAAAAGAGGAGATATTTGTTAATTTTGAATTAATAAATTGCTATGATGGTGTTGATCTTCTAAATCTGTTTCCTTCTTTCGCGTCTTCTAACACCCACAGGATGATATGGGGAAGTGGATTTTCTCAAACAAGAGTCTAAAATATTGTAAGTTATCCTGTTAGAAATGAGCTGTCAATTTATGCCAATACTATGCTTAAAATACATATTTCTTCCTATGACCTAAAGCAAATCACCAAATGATCACAAAAAAGAGAATACCTAGAAAATAGACTTTTCTTCATCATTATTGGATGTTTGTTGTGCAGTATGGACTGCACAACAAACATCCATATATTAAATAATTGGCAAAATCTTGGAGCACATTAATGGTAACTTAACCTATGAGATTTAAAATTGTGAAGGAAGAATTGAAAACTTGTACATTTTCCATATGCACTGAATACAGAAAGTCATCCTCATCATTACAGCCCTTCAAAGAATACAGAAAATGCTCAGGATTGTTACTCCTATGTGCATTATCAAAAGTTATTAACATGGATAGAATTATATTCTCAATTGTGTATGCCCAATAGTTCAGTAACTAAGAGTTTTGCTGTGAGGCTGTAGGTTGATGACCTGCAATAGTGTTTGTATGGCCTATAAAAATTTTTTTTTTGGTTGGCATGTTTTGTGTGCAATTTATGTAACTTTGAAGCCTTATCTTTAAACATAATTAAGATTTGTGATAATTACAAATTATTCAGTTTTGAAAAAACAATAATTTGTAATATTTTTGATAATGGGTGACAAACGAGCACACAGTCCACCCAATGGTAAGTGGTTGCTGTAGCTCACAGACATCTACATTTATCCTCAATTAAGAATCAAAATACAGATTATTTTAACAGTGGTAGAGCCACGTGGCAGTGCAGGACAGTGTCGCACGAATGGGCCGACTCGAACCGGGGTGGTACCACGACCTCACAGAAAACCAGCGTGAAGTAGAGGTTTACCTCTGCGTTTCGCTTGGTGAGTGCAGGTGGCCGGAGGCCCTTTTTACTGGAAATGAGGCATTCCATCTTAGTCCTCACGGGTGACAACGCATCTACATTTTGATTTCTAATAGAGGATAGATGTAGATGTCTATGGGCCGCAGCAACCACTTACCATCATGTGGACTGTGTGCTCGTTTGTCACCCTTATCCTATAAAAAAAAAGATGCATTGTCACCCCTGAGGACTAAGGTGTAATGCTTCATTTCCAGTAATAGGGGTCTCCGGTTCCCTACACTCACCATAGAAAACACAGCAGTGTTAAGCTGCTAATTCACGCTAGTATTTTGTGAGAACATGGTCCTTCACCAGTCGAGCCATTATTTATTTTTTATAGCATTTAAAACCAGGTGTCAGTATTCAGGTACACTAATCACTATGCTGTAGTGTTATTATTATATTATGTACTATAGCTTTTAAAATGTTTTCCCTTCCCCTAGAAACAATTATTTTATCTTAGAAGTTTTGGATTTACTTACTTCTCTATTAAGAATATAATATTGACTTAATCTTTCAGGAGTATTATGTTATAAGGGAGTGGCTACTACCAGGCTGGTTAATGGCTGTACAATCTTTTGTAACTTTAGCTCTTATGCTATCACTGACTGCTCAAGTTCTATTAGCAGGTGTGATTGTGCGCTGGCCTTTACGGATAGTTTTACGCTATGAATGGATTTTTGTGTCCTCGGCTTTTATTATGGTGGCAATATCAAGTAAGAACTATTATATAAATTATTTTATTATTTCTGATATTTGATGAAAAAATTATATTGAATCTCCAAATAAGAATAAATGACACATATTTACATTTTATTTGCTTACAGTGGAAATAGATTGAAATATTTGTTCAAAATCTATCTCATTGACTGTAATGAACTACTGATGGAGGAATACACATTTAAAATTAGCAAACCCAAAGCTCACAGATATTGTTTAACTTGCTTGGTCTTATGATTTGTAACTGTTACAGTCTATTAAATTCCACTGCTCAACATCAGAATCCCCTATAGATTGCCATATGGGGGGGCGATTTGCCATAGTTGCCACGCTTGGCAAGTGGGTTGGTAACTGCAATTTTTTATTTTTAGTTGATATTAAGAAGACGCTGCTGCCCATCTCCTGATTTGTTTCCTTCTGTCGCTTCTTACGACACTCAAGGGATGACATTCCTTATTCTTCCACCGCCACTACAAGGCAGACTTTGTAAATGAAATACAAGAAAAATTAATTTTTTTATAATTTCTTTTCAAGGTTTATTCCTCTTTTTGGCTGTTGCAATTTTTGGAGGCAACTGTTATCGCCGTGATTGGTTACTTTATCCTTCATTTAATGTACTTTCCTGGTCCTACGCATTTGCCGTCATTGCATTTTTCCTATTTGGTAAGAACTATTTATAATTATAATAATATTAGCGTGAACTAGTCACTTCAACAAATTATAATACATGCCATGTAATTGATACAGTAAGCTAGGCTATATTGATGATAACTAACTTGTAAAGTTTAAGTTACAACAATAATCATGTTTAGGATTTTTGTAGTAATAAGTCAAAGATTGCAATGTATAAAGTTATCACAAGCATTAATTTTTCCTACAAATACTTATTTTAATGAGGGCTAATAATCTTCCACTCACCAGATGTCGCTAGTTGTGACTGAGGTAAAGTTTTTTGTTACACAGGAAATTATTTTTAAATAATAGTTTATCACAACACAATAATACACAACAGAATGCGTCAGTGGTTTGATTTTTAATTTTTTGCACTTTATAACTTCTTTTTTTTTATTTTTCTACTTTTAGTTATATTTATAGTTAGGATTATTCATTTCTATTCTAATTAATATGAAATATTACTAATGATACGAAAAGAACCCTTAAAGTTTACATTTTCCTAAGAAATTATCATCCCCGCTATGAAATCTGTCAAATATTTTACTTCACTGTAAAGTGGCGCCGCTCTGGTGACAGAAAAAGTCGTGGATGCCCTCATTAAATAAAAATAATATTATTATACACCTTTAATGAAAGTATCAATTAAATGATAGCTTTTTGCCTGTCTTTCAAGAGTAATGTAATGTAATCAATATTACAGTAGAACGCCGATTATCCGAATTAATTGGGACCAAGGTCGATTCGGATAATCGAAAATTCGGATAATCGGACATGACTGGTAATAAAGAGAAACAGACTGTCACATAGAATAGACTTGAGACTTTGTCCTTTAGTGATAGGACGGAAACTTGTCATCCTATCACTAAAGGATAAAGTGAAAAGTTTTTGCACTCATTTTGGTTATTCGTTTATCATATAACCGTTTTAAACAGCGATCCGCACAGTGAGAGAGAGAGGAGCTCACTGGCAGTAATTCAAATTCAATGTTATTGAGTTGAAAAAAAAAAAACGTTCCAACGTTCCGTTTCACGGAAGCCGCGGGACGCAAAACATGTAGTATCTTGTCTCTAGCTTTCAACTATAACAGTTGAAATATATCTGGACTCCAGCAAGTTCCAACTTGTTACAACAAAACAAAACAAAAATTACATTACTTACTTACAGTACCTACTTGGTTTTAATTTTTTGTATTACGCTTAGGATCGATTCGGATAATTGGCGATTCGGTTAACCGGCGTTCGGATAGTCGGCGTTCTACTGTACATCCATCCTATATCCTATAAGAGGGGCTCATGTCTAACAGCAGACTAAGGGCTTAAAAATTAGATAAACTTAACAAAATTCTTTAGATTGATTTCAAAAAAGATCAAAGCCCTGTATTTCGTTTGTCTTTCGATCCTAAGGTACAGGTTTTTTTTTATTTCGGGTCCAATGGAATATATTTGTATACCTTTTCTTTAACATTGTTGAGCACACTGTTCTTGCATATATTAGTTAAATCTATATGTCATTTAAATTATTATTAGTCTGTAGTGAGATGTTTAAGAGCTTTTACTTTACCGTTAACTCTGTTTCGTAGGTATTGCTGCAATTCTTCTGTTCTTAGAAGCTCGGAAGCTATATGAGTTACGTTCGGAAGCTAAGAACTTGGTTGCTCAAATGCAGCACAGTCAACCAGAACATGCATTGCATCAACTGCGTGACCAATTGCATCAACAGCATCAGCAACAACACCTTACTTATTACAGACATTGAGGTTTGAGTTGGTATCATTTTATTTTTAATTAATCGACTTCAAAAAAAGGTCTTTATCAATTTGACTGTATTCTCATTTTTTAATGTGTGAAACACAATTTGTCTATGGTTACTAAACAACTAAGCTCATTGATCATTTACTGCTATTTATACTACACATTACCCTTATACACATTTAACATATTAAATAACAAGCAAATTAATGTTTAGAAGGAATTATTATTTGTGAAAAAGCTCTACTTAGTACGTAAAATAAAATACTTGACTATTTGAATATTATGAAATATGAATGATCATAGACACTCAATCCATAGTGAACTGCATTTAATAATTAAAACACTTTAAGCAAATTAAGCATAAAAGGTTAGTTGACATTTATTGAAAACAAATTACACTAAATTCTAATGTCATTCGGACTTAAAATACATAATTTGTCAACTATAATTGCAGTAAGCTAGATTCATATTTATGATTCGTCGTCTAGTTAAAAAGCATATGTCGTAGCATTATAGTTTTTATTTTAAGTTTGATTAGGCACAAAGTTCATTCCACATTTCACATATCTGAATAAATATTATTGTCATATATTTAGGTTTAAGTACCCCTGAAATAAAAGTGTATTATTATGTATACATTAATGTAATGTATTAATGTAAAATAGTTAAAACATTTTAACAAAAGTATGATTTTTTACTATTCTTTTTACTTTTTTGTTTACATAATTATAGTTGTGTGCTTTCTATACTAAAATTTAATGTGTGTAATATTTATACTATATAATGGTGTATTACTGCCTAAAATGTTAGTACTAGTGCCTTCAATGTTAATAAAGATTTTAGTGGAATTAAATCTCATGTGTCATCACCACCACATGTACTTATAAGCTTGTTTTCTAAAAAGATAAAAAGAACTTTATATTCTCTGATAGTCCACGATAAAGTAAATTGAATCTCAAGTAAAATAATTAAATTGCTTATGAATTCAATACTCACTTTACACTAATAAATGAACTGTATACTAGCACTTTTCAAATGTATAATGTAAAAGGGCAATTTCGTACAAGATAAATTCTTTGCAACTCGATTTATGTACACATCATACAAAAGTATTTGGTTTGGATTTAATTAAATAATTTTACTTATATTTTGTGTGTATTTTGTTGATTAAAGAAGCACAATAAGACTGGTGAAATAATACTTTATTTTTGTACTAGAACATGGTTAACTGTTATTTAGATAATAATTGCGTGTATTGTCTCTATAGAAATAATATATGAATAGATTACTTAAAATTTTCTCGCCATCCGTCCAATAGATATGTATTCTTAAATTTTTTGTAGACAGTATAGTGTTTAGTGCTTAAGTTTATGAATTAAATGTATTTTCATATATCTTAACAAGATTTTTTTCTATATTTGTATTGAAACATATTATACTTGCACTTTAATACGTTACGCCGTGGGTCATAGATAAAAAGGAAACAAAACTAGACAGAAAACCAATGAGTTGAGTTTTTGCCCAAAAACAAGTTGATTTGTTTTTGACTCGGGCAGAAATTGAATCCAACACATAATAAGCCTGCTTTCGATCTTACCGCAAAAGCACTACAACAGGCAGTACTAGGTGACCATCAGATGATGTCCTCTATGTGACCGTCTTTTATAAGCAACTGGCACTGCAGGGCGTATCTGAAAGGAGACTGCTTAGTCCATTGAAGCTCCTTCACGGTCCTTTTGTACCTTCGACTGTGTTAGTCGCCACCTTTCATTAGTTACTTTTTGGTGATTTTGATGAAACTGAGAAATTTGACTTGGATTAGGATCAGGTTATTAAGACCAACAACTACTGGAGACACATTTCACAATAAATGATCTGACTACCAAAATCTGTCGAGTCATCCTAAATCACATAATCATGTCATCTGTTTCATCACTAAAAAGATCTCGTTCTGTATTATAACCTGAATGAAAACCTCATTTTAATTACTTCTCTATGGAGGTCGTAGCTGAGCCGAAAATTAGTAGTAAATAGTAAAATTAACAACAGACCGCTGCGAAACGTCCGCCTAGCCTCCAACAACGCAACGAATCGCTGGCCACCGCACCGTGAGGGTGACAAACGACCAAATTGCAAGGCTGTACGTTATTAAGGAGCAGCCTTAAAGATGTTTAATAGAGGCGAGTTTGAAACATTTGTTTGTTAATATCTCTAACTGTTCCAGCACACAGTCGTGCTCTGCACCATTACTTCACTGCATCGTGCATAAAATACTTGGGGAGAGCTGTTTCCCTGAGTAGCTAACGAGGGGTCATTGTAGAGCGCCGATTTGTCTCTTTGATCCGATAAGTTATTGATTAAAGCTGTACGAATGCCAGCTGTCAGGAATACCATTTGAATTTAAAGTGGTCGCGGCAGGTCCAGTTTTTTTTATTTAATATCCCGTTAAGCAGGCATAAGTTCGATAGTTCACTGCCAGGATCATTACTTAGGTATGCAGCACATATTTGGTCACATAATTTTATAAATCTAGTTACAGTACTTTAGTATATTAGGGTTACCGTCAAACTTTGGCACTGGGCGTAAAACTTTGTCAAGGTCGTCCAAAAACTGCAGTCACCCAAGAAAACGTTGATGCTGTGCGTAAGCTGATTGAGGAAGATCGACATGTGACATACAGCGAAATTCAGGCAACTTTAGACATTGGCATGAGTCAAATACAAATAATCTTGCATGAACAATTAGGTGTAAAAAAGTTGTTTTCCCGATGGATAACCGCATTCGCTCTGTGAAGAGCAAAAAGCGGCTCGCGTTACTTGGTGCGTCAGAACTCTCGAAAGATTCCACGCAGCATCCTCAAATGCTGTATACAACATCGTATCAGGTGACGAATCCTGGATATACGCGTACGAACCCGAAACAAAAAACCAGTCACGAGTTTGGGTGTTCGAAAATGAGTTAAAGCCAACAAAAATGGTTCGTTCACGGAGTGTTGCAAAAAAAAAATGGTGGCCACGTTTGTCTCCAAAACCGGCCATGTTACGACTATTCCTCTTGAGGGACAAAGAACGGTTAATGCAGAATGGTATGCTAGCATTTGTTTGCCACAGGTCGTTTCTGAACGCCGCATCATCCTCCATCACGACAATGCGAGTTCTCACACCGCACACAGAACAAAAGAGTTTTTAGAGCAAGAAAACATAGAATTATTAGACCATCCGCCGTACAGCCCCGACCTAAGCCCTAATGATTTCTATACTTTCCCTAAAATAAAGAATAAATTGCGTGGACAGAGATTTTCATCACCTGAAGAAGCTGTGGACGCCTACAAAACGGCCATTTTGGAGACCCCAACTTCCGAATGGAATGGTTGCTTCAATGATTGGTTCCATCGTATGGAAAAATGTGTCAAATTTCGCGGAGAATACCTCGAAAAGCAATAAATACACTTTTAAATAGTAATGTTGTGTCACTTCCATGATTCCCGAAATTTTCAGTGCCGCCCTCGTATTCATGCATTTCAGAATTCCAAGAGCCTGATTAGTATTAAATTGTATATTTATAAATTTCACGATTACTTCGATGGCCTTATTGGTCTCGACCTATTAGAGAAATGGGAAGCTAGAATAGGTCTAAAGGATATACTTGTAACACGATTAGCTAGCAACCCTATCTTAATACATAAAGGTAGCAAAAACAGATCCAGAATAACACTCAACAGAGGTACGAAAAGCTCGAAGAATCTAAAGTCTGAAAGGCATTACCAGCAACTTTTTCTCTCAAAGTTCTAAAATACTTGCTGATCTAAGGGTGGAGGAGTTATAACATAGCCTCATAGGTAAAGAGCCTACACAGCATCAACCCCGATATATTGCAACGGCACGAGGAACAACTCAGCATTACGTGAGCATTGACGTCAACAGATGCAATCGGAACTCTGCAATATACCTATACTTTATTTTTATTGTAATAAAGATCTAGCATCGATCTGAATCACTTCTACTTTAGTTGTAGTAATTATATTGTAATTGTTATATTATAATAACATATTTTTAATTAGTTTCGGTTTTTTTTGGGTCCTTCGGCTGCAGGTAACGTAATTCTGATATTCCTAAGAGATTTGTTTGTATTGATCGCCACGTAATCGCCGCGCTGTCGATGAGTATTAGCTATTTTTTCAGATATGGAACCTAAGTAGGTCAAACTGCAAACATATCGACGAGCACTCTGTGGTTTAACCGCGTACAGAGAATTGCGTTCGACATGCTTTTGTTTCTGTTTGATTACATTGTCAATGATATTCTTTTTGAATAAATAATAATTGCGGTTTCTAATGGTTTATTGGCGCAGATAATCGTCACTGGTCTTATAGCGTTTCGTACCTTAAAAGGTAGAAACAATCCTTATATCACTTTGTTGTTGAGGTTAACAATTCGAGTGTATGTTTTTTGTATGTATGTTACGCGATGTCTTCGTCAATTGCGAATCGATTCTGCTAATTTTTTTTTAATTAACATATACTTTATGCGTGATCCCATATAAATTGGGAGAAAAAATCCACTCCTAAGGGTGATAAAATAGGGTATGAAGTTTTTAATGGAACTACGTACTTAGGGTGTCACCACAACAATCGATCGATCGTTAATCGATGCCATTGATCGACGTTGACGTTGAAGTTGTGGTATCTGATCGACGATCGATACTCGTCCATAAAACCTTTTTCAATCGTCGATAACAATTAATCGATGTGGTTGTGGGCTTATAATCAGTATTTTTCCGAAATTTATTCTGAAGAGGACACGTTATTGTTGGCCAGTACGCTTTTGCGGATGCGACTGTTTTTTTAAACCAGAGGTCGCTTATTTCATCCAGACGACCTTTTTAATAGCAGTCGGTAGAACGGGGTGGGTTCTTGAATAATCAAGCAGCTCGATCGACGTCGACTAATCCATTCTACCATCGATCGATGTTATCGATCTTATCGTATCGATATATTGATCGAATACTTAACACATTGAAAAGGGTAAAAAATTAAGTTTTAATTAAAAGTAATATGAGTTGACTGGCAAGCAAAGCAACGGGTAGAGGTATCACGTTGAAATTAATATGAAATACTAAGGTCTGGTCCCTATCTATATAGCAGTTGGAGTATCGACCGTGTATGGGAAAACGCTAATTCCACTGCCAAGTTAAGTTTGTCCTCTAATCGACTTACATTTTAGTACGTAAGTTAGTACTTACGGTAAGTTAAATATTGTGGTTAAAATACGTCTATTTTTCTTAATGCTTACACTGTTACGTATCTGTTGTATATTTAAATAAATATTGTCTTTGTCAATTTACCTCATTCGTGTATTGGTATCGAAAACAGGCTAAAATCGTCGAAACTCGATTCCGAGGTGGATGTACTATCTACATACATAATTAACATTATTCGACAGTCTCAAGGCGCGAGTTCTAATCGCTCATCGAATCGGACAAATTAATAATTGTTGCACTACTATTGGATTTTGTAAATATTACAATATTTACGACTGGAAATACTGTTTCTGTTATTTGTATTCATTATTTTACCTGGTTTATGAAGCTGATGACACAGTTTTAGCACGTGATCCATCGTAGTTTGCGGCAAATTACCATCTAGTACAACAAGTGGCGCTTTTTCCAATGTTTCTATATGTTTATCCACCTAGTGATGTAAAAAATATAAAAGTTTGAATAGGTATTTAGTTAATTACATACAATTCAAACGTGGTAGAGCCATGCTGCAGCTATATTAGTAGTATAGTTGTAGCACGAATGGGTCGGCTCGACCGGGGAAGGACCACGCTCTCACAGAATACCAGCGTCAAATAGCAGCTTGCTGCTGTGTTTCGTATGGTGAGTGTAGAGAACCGGAGACACTTTTTACTGGAAAAGAGGCATTCTATCTTAGTCCTCACGGCTGACAACGCATCTGCATTTTGATTCGCAAACGAGGATAAATGTAGATGTCTATGAGCCACAGCAACCACTTACCATCAGGTGGACTGTGTGCTCGTTTGTCACCCTATACTATAAAAAAAAAAATTAATTACGGCTTCCCGTTTAGTGGCGGGTAAGAATACCTACTACCCCATATCCTCCCGTGGATGTCGTAAGAGACGACAGAGGGAAACTGAGGCAAAAGATGGACAGCAACATCTTTCATATAACAGCAAAACAAAAAAAAACATCGATTGCCAACCCGCTTGCCAAGCGTGGCAACTATGGCAATATTACCCCCCAATGATTAAAGTTTCGAAAAGACAGCCCCCAGTCCCCGCGGCCCCGCTATTTCTGGCTACGATGGCGATCATGGTAACGGCGGGGCAGGGGGTGCTAAGAATCTCCGGTGGAGGTTCTGTTGCCACCTAAGACGACTCGACCTGGCAACATATAACGCACGCAACCTGAGGACTGACGAGAAGGTCCTGGAGCTGGAAGGAGAGATAGATCATTTGCGCTGGAATATTATAGGATTATCCGAGGTCCGAAGAGAGGGGGAGGACATGGTAATCCTCGAATCCGGCAACTTGTTCTATCACCAGGAGGGCGACCATCTGCTCAAGGAGGTGTCGGATTTATCGTCCAAAAGTCTCTCGTTAACAACGTTGTAAAAATTGAGTGTGTCGACGGTTGTGTACTTTATACTCAGAATCACCAAACGGTATTCGCTGAAGGTCATACAGGCTAACGCACCAACCTTGGCACATCCCGATGAGGAGGTGGAGGAAATGTATGAGGATATATCTAGAGCCATGCATTCCTCTAAAACCCACTATACGATGTCAGTGGGAGGACGATGAGCTGAAGGTTGGGCAATTTGGAATAGGGCAACGGAACCCAAGGAGCCAGCAGCTGGCCGACTTCGAGTAGTAATTCAAGTAGTAAGCTCGAAGTTATTGACGAGTATGTTTACCTGGGACAAATAGTCCGATTAGGTAAGTCCAACTTCGACCGAGAGGTGAATCGATGGATTCAATTCGGCTGGGCAGCGTTCGGGAAATTACGGCACATCTTCTCGTCAGGTATACCTCAAAACTTGAAAACGAGACTGTACAACAAGTGCGTGTTGCCAGTGAGGACCTATGGAACTGAGACGTGGTCCTTCACTGCTGGCCGGGTGAGGAAGCTCAAGGTCGCTCATCGAGCTATGGAGAGGGCTATGCTCGGAGTTTCTCTGCGTGATAAACATAGAAATAAGGATATCCGCAGTAGAACCAGAGTGACCGTCATAGCCGCTGAAGTGGCAATGGGCCGGGCATATAGCTCGAAGAACCGATAACCGATAGAGAAAACAGGTTCTCGAGTGTGGCTTCGTACCAGCGGACGAAGTGTGCGGACGTAGTCCTCCTACTAAATGGAGTGACGACCTGGTAAGACATGCAGGAAGTCGATGAATGAAGGTGGCTCAGGACCGCTTTGGGGCATTCCTTGGGAGAGGCCTATGTTCAGCAGTGGACTTGTGAAGGGCTATAACGATGATGATGATGATGAATTACGGCTTCGTAAGAAATATGTACGCACGTTTTGGTAAAGAGATTATCTTATGGAAGCGCACTTCAAGATATGACCAATTTTGTTTCGGACTCGTCTGATATATGGTTGTATGTCAAAGGAGCCCCAAGTTTAACTATATGTATGACAAACATGAGATCAAGCACATCAGTTCCTCCCTGACCAATGGTGTTACAAAACACGACGGCAATTATAAATAAGTTGAACAAAAAGCGATAAATTCTGTCAAACTGAGTATTTTAATTCTAATAAAATTATGAATAACTCACCAGTTTAGGCGTTATTTGATTATGGATTTCCATATCACCTAGACCTAAGAGACATTCTCCTTTTGAGTCAAATAATGCGGCGTACATTGATGTGCGTGCGCCGCTTATTACACATCCTGCAATAGATAATAATTATTCATTAATGTCCTTTAGACCGAGTGAGTACCGGCCACAGCGGCCAGTCCCAACGTCTATATAGTTTAATGAGAGAAGAGAAGATTAGAACCATTCGAAGGGTTCGAATCCCGCACGAAACAAGTATTTGGTTGGCCTGCAAATAACTGTTCCAAGGTGGATGCTCTGGATGTTTGCCCTTGTGCAATTTATGTTTGTGAACTGCCTGCACAATACAGGAGAAAATCCTAGTGTGTAGGTAACGTTTTTTTTAAAAAAAGAAGAAGAAAGAAAGAAATTTAGTTTGATCTATGCTTGACCTGCTTAGAAATCAAGTTGATTGTCTGAAGGGTATTTATTTAAGTGAATATCGGACAAGAGCACTACAATCAATTCACACAAGGGCCCGAAAGCGTGTATGAGCAATGAGAAACGTAACTTGGACTTTTGATGGAATTATCTACAAAAGATTTCAGTGGCCGTCAGAAGATTAAAACGCAAATGCACCTCGACCTTATAATAACAAGGTTACCACCACCTTTCCTGACTCCGGGCTGCTACTGATCATTTCTTGACAGAAAATACTCAATAACTGATTTTTTCCTTGACCCAGGATTCAAACCCATGACCTTATGGAACTCATCAATCCTTATTGGACCAATAAGGCAGTCAATTGTATAATAAAGGAAACATGCAGTTTTATAAAAATAATTTAAATCGGTCTAGTTTTAGAGGGGAATAAGTACGGGATGATAATTTTGTAAACAGTTTTATAGGTGTAAATTGCTTCGAGCGGCAGTTGTCTCTCTTGGTTGTCAAGTTCGGTTGTTCGGGCAGAGCACAGGGCGACTGCAATAGATCCTCAAAAACCTATACTTCGGATTTCTTATAGCCCTGATATCTTCATTATCATCATTAACCTATTAAAGATCACTCCTAAACAAAGATTTGCGTTAACCGTCACGCTTGACTTGTAGGTTGACGATCGCAGTATCTGACGTTTCACACCCTTGACGGTGCTCCACGGTCTTAGTATTTTATGGTGATGAAAAGAGATGGCTATACCACCATCTGTCGGGAACCGTAAGGTCTTTCTGTTGTGCCGTGTAGTGGCTGTGTAAGAATTTCCACTAACCCATATCATCCCGTGGGTGTCGTAAGAGGCGGCAGAGGGAAACAAATCAGGAGATGGGAAGCAGCGTCTTCCTAATGACTATGGTAAATATCCCCTATGCAATCTATGGGAGGAACCTATGTTCAGCAGGGGATTTTAATAGGCTGTAACGAAAACGGTCACTGTTGTCACCTTACTTCTACAATAAAAGTAGTCGCCAAGGAAATAGGCCAGCAGGACATTTACATCATCAAGCCTTTATTTAGATATCTAGCTTATGGGATTGTAGAAAAATATTTAATCACCGTCGAGTAAGAGGCCAGGTGCGATGTTGGAAATGTATTGCCCATCTGAGTCGTCACCGATGGCAGTCAGCAGGCGCACGCCACCACCTCTCAACCGCCATAAAGCTTCTGCCATGTTTCGCGCCACGCCACCTCCACATTGTTTCGTGATGCACGCGTGTGTACTGCCATCTAGCTGTAATATAACAAGTTGTGAAATTAAAAATTTTATGTAACCGACTTCAATATAAATAAAATGAGAACATTATCAATGTAGTCGAAGTCAATTAAATACGCATTATTAAGGATAACTCAAAAACTACTGGTCAGATCTTGTCAATATTACATGGGAAGCACCAGTTTTCAAATAAAAAATAAATCATCAAAATATGTTCACCTAGAAAAAAGTTTTGAGGTAACACACATAAAAATAAAAACAGTCGAAATGCGAACTTTTTTGTAGTCGGTTGAAAATAACACATCGTCATGTATGTATGTAAACTGTTTTATAGGTGTAAATTGCTTCGAGCGGCAGTTGTCTCTCTTCAATTACATAGCTGATGTGAAGAATCGACGTTCCGGGAAGTCTGCAGTCTGTGAACACGTACAGGATCGCCCCCGTCACTACATTAGATTTGATAGACCACAAATCCTCGCTAAAGAACACCGATTCCTCCCCAGGATGATTCGAGAGGCTATTGAAATTAAAAAACATTCTAATTTCAATAGAGAAGATGGCTGGGTGCTACCATCTGCTTGGGATCCCATAATTAATAAAATTAAATCCCAACCCAAGCATACAACTGCAAGACTTCATGATACTGTAAGTTCATACTGCGTAGGTTGGAACAAAAATTAATAATTTTTAATCTGAAGGTAGCCGTGATTAACTGTGACATTGGGACGTCATACACCTCAGTCCCCCCGTGACCATGGGTACTGAAAAGTGCCCGAAACGTCGGGAATATAAAATAAGTTAATATACGCGATAAAATCCTTTAAATTAGTTTTATTTAAAAGTTAGTATGTATAAGGAAAACGGGATATTTGGGGCTGGGTTTTACAGGGTGAAGTATGTATGTTTCATCATCATCATCATCATCATTACAGCCCTTCACAAGTCCACTGCTGAACATAGGCCTCCCCCAAAGAATGCCACAAAGCACGGTCCTGAGCCACCTGCATCCATCGACTTCCTGCATGTCTTACTAGGTCGTCACTCCATCTCGTGGGGGGACGCCCTACACTTCGCCTACCGGTACGAGGCTGCCACTCGAGAACCTTTCTTCCCCATCGGTTGTCGGTTCTTCGAGCTATATGGCCGGCCCACTGCCACTTCAGCTTACTAATCCGTTGTGCTATGTCGGTTACTCTGGTTCTACTGCGGATATCCTCATTCCTAAGTTTATCACGCAGAGAAACTCCGAGCATAGCCCTCTCCATAGCTCGCTGAGCGACCTTGAGCTTCCTCATACGGCCAGCAGTGAAGGACCACGTCTCAGTTCCATAAGTCATCACTGGCAACACGCACTGGTTGTACAATTTCGTTTTCAGGTTTTGAGGTATGTCTGACGAGAAGATGTGTCGTAGCTTCCCGAACGCTGCCCAGCCGAGTTGAATCCGTCGATTGACCTCTCGGTCGAAGTTGGACTTACCTAGTCGGACTATTTGTCCCAGGTAAACATACTCGTCAACAACTTCGAGCTTAGTGCTCCCAACAACTACCGGCATAGGTGTGACATGGACATTGAACATGATCTTTGTTTTGTCCATGTTCATCTTAAGATCTATCCGTTGGGAAACAATGTATGTTTAAACTAAAGAATTTCTATTGGTTTGCTATACTATATGGTTGGTGTACCTACTTATTTAATTATGTAATAGGACATAGGAGTGCAGAAGTTATAAAATGATGTAAATGTTTTTGTAAATGTTAGTAAATAAATAAAAAAAAATGTTCATAGCAATTACATTGCATACTAGGTGATAGGACTTCTTTCCTGCCTAGGATTCCATCTGGGTCCGTACCACTCTGTTACCTACTTCTGCCGCCAAATATTGCTTTGCACTGCTGTTCCGGTTTGAAGTGATATTACAGCCAGTATAGTTACAGGCTGTGAGGCATTCCATCTTAGTCCTTATACGTGACAGCGCATCGGTAGCCTGCTTTGTTAACTTCCTTCTGCGTAGCATTGAAAGGAAGTTAATGGTTTTAGCTGGCAGTCTGATAATCTGTATGCCGACACGATAACTTCCGTTCCACTGGACCGATTGACTTTAAATTTGGTATGTGGATACCTTGAGGTAGTAGCTCGGTCGAGTTTGAATTTGGGTCCTGTAGGTCAAAGGGCACCAGAGATATGGGATTCACGCAGAATGAAGTTGTTTTTCTTGAATTTAAATTCAACTCGTTTTAAGTTGGTTACATGTGTTAACGACCACTTACCATCAGGTGAACTGTAAGAAGCTTAGCTTTCCATTGACGTCCGTCGAGTTGGGGTTGATATTTTTTTAATAGAAAGGTTACATTATTATAAGTAAACACACAAAGTGTCAACATGCGGAAATGCGTACTTTTTGAGAAAAAATTATTGAAAATCAATTATTTTTGCAATATTTATGTCAATTCCTACCACAGATTATATCGAATTCTCGGATTATATATTAGTAACTCATACTATAATATTTTAAAGTCTACATATTTAAACAAAGAAAATAACATCTAAAAGATAAAAGTAGGTAATCGAAGTATTTGTTGTAATTTTTTTTTATAGAATAAGGGTAACCAACGAGCACACAGTCCACCTGTTGGTAAGTGGATGCTGTGGATCATTCATATCTACATCTATCCTCGATTAAGAATGAAAATACATATGCGTTGTAACCCCTGAGGACTAAGATGGAATGCCTCGTTTCCAGTAAAAAGGGTCTTCGGATCTCTACACTCACATTTTACGCTGCTATATTACGCTAGTTTTCCAAGAGCGTAGTCCTTCCCCGGTCGAGCCGACCCGTTTGTGCTACGACCATAATATTAGGTCTTTACCTATGAAATTGCCGTATAAGTTAACGTAATTTTATTTATATACTTTTTGTTTCTATTAATCAAAGTAATCACCCACACCCATACAATCAAAGCATCTTTGCCTACGCAGTGTCAGTTTATTGATGCCCTTCTTGAAGAAATCAGCTGGACGGGAGGCAACGAATTCTTCAAAGGCATTTAGTACTGTCTCTCGGGTATTGAATTTTTTTCCCGCCAAAAAGTTAACCAAATTCTGGAAAAGTGGAAGTCTGTGGCGCAAGGTCTGGTGAGTACGGCGGATGACGAAGAGCTGCTGATCCCAGCTCTTGTAACTTGGAGACCCTGTGATGTCGTGCAGGAGCAGCGGGGACGAATGATTGACCTAAGCTGGTTGGAGACGTGCGAGCTTCTCCATCATTGTGTTCAGTTCTTCACAGTACACATCTGCAGTAATACCTATGCCGTTTGGTAAGAAGCTGTGATGAATCACACCGGTGCTAGAACACCAAACAGTGACCATCACTTTTATAGGGGTAAGTTTTCGTTTAGGGCATTATTTAGGTGCTGAACCAGGATCCAACCAACTTGCTGAGCGCTTGCGATTGTCAAACAGAATCCATTTTTCGCGGCAGGTGACAATGCGGTTAAATATTCCTTCGTTTGTGTACCTGTTGAGCAGTGCAAGGCATGTCTCGACGCGTATTTCGCATTGGCGATCATTGAATTCGTGGGGCACCCATTTGTCAAGCATTTTTACCTTGCCAATTAGACGTAAATGGACCAATATTGTTTTGATGCTAACGTCGAAAGCTGCTGCTAATTCGGCCGTAGATTGAGTGTCATCAGCTTCCACAATCGCCTTTAATTCATCATTGTCGTCCAAAGTTTTCGGACGACCATGGGGTTCATTTTTCAGGTGGAAATTTCCAGAACGGAAGCGGGCAAACCAAAAACAGGTGGTGCGTTTGTTTGTAGTATTCGCTCCGTAAACGTCGTTGATGTTGCGTGCCGCTTGTGCCACGTTGCTGCCACGACGGTACTCATATTCCATAATTATTCGAATTTTGAACGTATCCGTGATGACATAAAATATTCAAATGCGATGAAAACATAACGCTAATGACTAATTTCGGAAAAAGAAGTCCATGTTTTTAAAATAAAATTAATTTGAAATTAGAATACTTAACCAAACAAAAATGATTTTGATTTGAAATGGCCAGTACTGCAGAATGGCAATTTCATAGGTAAAGACCTATTATAACTGCAGTGTGGCTCTACATATAATTTTAATTGGATCTTCATTTTCTAAACACATGCTTATTTACATGAGATTGTCGTTAAATGTTGTTGTAATGATTTTTGATATTATATCCAAATTATTACACGTGACTCAATGTGTGGATGTGTGTCAGTACTTGATGTTGTGTTGTCAAGAACGTTTTGTGTTTGTGATAATTGTAAATGTACCGCCGCAAATGGATGTTTGCCTCGCGATATGAAATTTGTATGAAATTTGTAACTCTTGGATATCATCTTCCTTGTGGAGTTAGTCCGCTTGACAAACTTGGCGCATAATTGTGGCAAAGAATACAAATATCACATTTTTGTAAATAAGACAGTCGATGAAATGGTTTTACAACATTTAATCAAAATAGGACAAGGCAAAAAACTATCTTAATTATTATGTAGCATAGTTTTATTAAAATTAAAGATTACACAAGTAAAACTTTAAGATTACTTTCGCTCCAAATACGAGCCATTTTAATCATTTGCGAAGGACCACAGAATAAATAATAGTACGAAAAAAGATATTGGAAATTTCTATCCCTTAGACGGTGAAATAGGGTTTAACAGTATCTATGAAACTTTTTATTTTACTGGGCGATTGACTCGAAACTTACTGAAAGACTTTGGATGAAAATGATGTCCAGGTATAAATAAATAATACAATCAAGTTAAAAAAAAAACAAAAAAAAAAGATGATGACAGCTGAGGAAAGTAGGATGGAGATACAAAAAAAAAAGGATATGAAACATGATGGGAAATATTAGAGTTCCAAGTTTTTTTATAGGATAGGGTGACAAACGAGCACACAGTCCACCTGATGGTAAGTGGTTGCTGTGGCCCATAGACATCTACATCTATCCTCGTTTGCGAATCAAAAAGCAGATGCGTTCTCATCCGTGAGCAGCATTAGCATAGCATTAAGCTACTATTTTGCGCTTGTATTCTGTGAGAGCGTGGTCCTACCCCGGTCGAGCCGACTCATTCGTGTTACAAACATAAAATAACTGCAACTTGGCTCTACCACGTAAAAATATTATATATATATATATGGTCCTTCACTGCTGGCCGGATGAGGAAGCTCAAGGTCGCTCAGTGAGCTATGGAGAGGGCTATGCTAGGAGTTTCTCTGCGTGATAAACTCAGAAATGAGGATATCCGCAGTAGAACCAGAGTGACCGACATAGCCCAACGGATTAGTAAGCTGAAGTGGCAATGAGCCGGCCATATAGCTTGAAGAACCGACAACCGATGGGGAAGAAAGGTTCTCGAGTGGCAGCCTCGTACCGGCAGGCGAAGTGTAGGGCGTCCCCCCACTAGATGGAGTGACGACCTGGTAAGATATGCAGGAAGTCGATGGATGCAGGTGGCTCAGGACCGTGCATTCTTTGGGGGAGGCCTATGTTCAGCAGTGGACTTGTGAAGGGCTGTAATGATGATGATGATATATATATATATATATATATATATATATATATATATATATATATATATATATATATATATATATATTATTTTTATATATATATATTATTATTTGTATTATTATTTTGCGTGGTTTATTGAAGAAGGTGGATAATTGTACTGGAGTACGAAAAGAAAGGTTGTTAGAACGGTTTTCACCATTCGAAAAGCTTTACACTAACTTAAATTTGGGCTCATTATTACGCCAAAATATAAGAAAGTTTTTATGTAATTGCTTGAGCTTTCCGTATTATACGATCACCTAATAAGTGAAGGTCATGACTAGAAGGTCCGGGTGATAAAACTTGACATCGCGGAGCGAAAAACTAGTTTTAGTAAACCGTATAAGTAAAGGTTAAAAATATATGCTATGTCGAAGGCAAAATATTATCCATGTGAACTTCTCCAAGTGTTTTATTCTTTTGTATTTCCAGTTATTGGAAGTGATAAAATGTTTCTCAATAACTGCTGCAAATATTTTTAGAGATGGTGCGGTCAATAGCTCTTACGCGCATGAGGGCCTTGATGACCATTGCATTCTTGGGAATGTCTCAAGGGGCGATTGTAGTCATAACATAATGTGGAGGTATCGTACTATTTACTATAAAGAAATTTCTTCTTGTAAGTCAGGTGTCGAGAGAACATTCCCAGTAATTGAGGAGAGGAAGAGGTTGTTGCAGATGTTAAGAGTAAATAAGACACCGCCACAACAGACGTCATCTCAGAATTGATTGAAGTTATGGGCAAATGCGAATGACTGCGGAATTCCCATGATGCTCTTTAAAAGCAGGTGGTGTTGCTATAGGTGCTTGGTTTATAAGATAGGTGCCTATCAAGGCGTTAATCGTTAATTTTATAGATACCTGTGTGTTATATGAGGTTGTCCTTGATATGTGTGTTGAAATATTTTCTGCCGCTATAATATGTGAAAGGATAGAGAGTTGTAGCTTCTAATTCAACCAGAATGGATTGTAAAAGCCACGGTTGAAGGCGTTACGGTTGTCAATAAGAGTCCGATAAAAGGCACGAATAACATAAACAATTGATTAAAAAAAATACTTCAACAGTTACAAACCAGTCTGTAGATCCTGTACTTTATACACCTAAATTATTCCATATACAGAGGTATATATTTAGAAACTATATTGATAGCTAAGCATTACTGGGACCTGAAAAAACCGTAAGCATATTTCTAAAAGTCATAAAATTCAATGTGTAATGTAGTTCTCTGTGTCATGTACGTCCAGGAAAGTTTTTATGTTTATGGAAATGCTATTTAACGTGAAATTACTTTTTGAAGTTTAATATATATTGAAGTGAAAACTTCTTTAGCATCGTTGTAATTTGAAACTCAATAAAACGAAAAAGTGACATTAAACAGGCAAATATATAAATCATTAGGAAAGGCCTACGAGAGAATTAGATAGAATCTATACTAATATAATAAAGCGGAAAAGGGTTTTCTGTTTGTTTTAAGTACGCTAAATCTCTGAAACTACCAGTCCGATTTGATAAATTCCTCTATATGATAGCCAGATTCACGAGGAATAGTATAGGCTAACATTAAGCTACATTTTTCAGCTAGCCTTAAATATTGAATTTTTATTAACTAAGTTGGAAGAAAATGCGCTTCCGAATAGCTTTATCCGCGTGCGCTGGCGTAATGGTTAGTGATATGTAAATACTATATTCTACAAAAATATAGATCTTTACTCCATCTAAATCTTTATGCTAAACTTTATGTTTAGAATATAATTTTATTCAAATTATAAAGGAGCCAACTCGAATAACTTAGCGGAGTTAAAAGCTTATGTTGCAGATTTAGGATTCTATGATCACAAAAGAACTATGATTAAAGTAAATACCGAAAATAACAAAATAAAAGCAATTTATGGGGTAATTACAAAACGATTTTTTAACGAGAAAAACATCAATGAATTTAAATCTCAGATTTCACTTATAGACCGGCGTACTATTCTAAATATTGAAATAAACCTTAATGAAAACTATAATATATTTCAAGACATATTAAAAATTTTGCTAAATAAATTCATTCTTAAAAAACCGTTACTATTAGAGCATGACCAAAACTATCGGTTAACAAAAGGCCTCAAAATGTCATGTCAAAATATAAGAGTTTTAAAAGTCCTAACTTTGTATACAAAGAACTCGAATTTAAAAATAACACTATAAAACATTTAAAAAAATATTAAACAAAGCAGTAAATAAGGCCAAAAGAATAGATTATGCAAATAAATTAAATCAATCTGATAATACGGTAAAATGTATGTGGGCCATTATAAAGGAACGTATTAATAAAATAACAAATAAAATAAAAGAAAATATTGAAATTTTAGTGGACGAACAATATGTATCAGAACCAAAAAGGGTAGCTAATCTATTTAATAATTTCTTTGCATCAGTTGGCCACGTCTCAGAAGCAAACATACCATCTTAACTAATACAATCCTTTAAAAATACAAGTACACTAAAACTATGTTTTTTTGTCCTGTTAAGCCGGAAGAAATTAGTAACATTATCAAAAAAATAAAAAAATAAAAATAGTTATGGAATAGATGAATAACCACCGAAATTAATAAAAAAATGTGTCGATTCATTAACTTCTCCATTTAGTTTTTTAGTCAACCAATCTTTTACGGAAGGAATGATCCCCGATGTATTAAAAACTGCTATAATAAAACCTATACATATGTCTAAAGGATACAAAAGCAGACACTACAAATTATAGACCGATTGCAATGTTACCTACATCTTCGAAAATCTTCGAAAAGGCAATGTCAAATAGAGTTTACGCATTACGCACTAAATGGTTTTAGGAAGAAACGGTCGACTACACTTGCAGTATACAAATATATACAAAAAGTACTTGATATTCTAAATGAAAAGAAATACGCCGTAGGTATTATATTATTAGATATGTCCAAAGCTTATGATAGAGTACAATACCCAATACTGTTACAGAAGTGATATGACATCGTCTATCATCTATACGTGATACGGCATACAAATGGTTTAAAACTTATCTAGAAAACCGCAAAGACTATGTAATATGATAGTGCATTATAACCATAATACTGGCGAAATCTGCAACGTTAGATCCAAAGCAATCCACATTACTTGCTCGATCCATTAGGGCAGCGTTTTGTTATGTTTGCTATTTATTATTTACATAAACGAACTGCCTAGTGTATTGGGTGCAACCTCTATTATATTTACATATAACGTCTCCATTCTTATTTCACATACAGAATTTAAATAATAAATTGAACCATGTATTAAAAC